AGACACTGGAGGCCTAGGCCCTAGAATGTAAAGTTTGCTTGTGTTGGTCTGAATGCGTTCGTTGATTGCGATCGGGAGTAATCAGTTTTGGATTACCACCGATTACATCGCAACCGATCGCAAGAGAGTTTAGTCTGAATAGGGTATAAATAACGAAAAAAAAAAAAACAGTGTTATAAAATATACACGGTGTTTCCACGTGCTCTGAAGGCACTATCAGCCTTTGTTTCTTCGTCAAAAAACAATGGCAACTCGCACGGGTAAAACAATGCCGTGATTAAACAAGTAATAATATGTCTTTTTAAACATACACTCAACAAAGATTAAACCATATATTCTAGGAGTTATTTATAATAAAGTGACGTGACTAATAATTACTTACCAGGTGTTAAAATCGATAAATAAGGATATTTCTTGACTTCGGATTGCGCTTATACTCGGTAAATAGCTTTTAGAAGTTGATAGGTTGCCAGAGCATTTTAAAAAATTGGCCATTTTGTTCGTAGCTGAGATTTATTGACCGTTTTAATGTACCCCGTTTCAAAGTGCCCCGGTCTTCCCCTAGTAAAAGGTTGCAAGTTCGAATCACGCCAGGGACAATTTATATACAAAAATAATGAATATTTTGTTGAAGGGATATGATTATAACATCTTGTTCCCATTTAAGCACTCTTATTATTATTAATCAATTTGTTTATATTGTGTTTATGGTGCTATGCAACAAACTTATATTTGAATATTATTAATCACTTGTCAGTTGTCAGAAACAATTACAAAAGGAAATGCAGGATATAAAATGATTGTGTTTAAAGCAATCCTGGACACCTACAGTATCAACTGCAAAAGTGGATGATGCAACTCCATTGCCAGGATGTTTGCACCACAACCAAAATGACCTTTGTCAATTGCCAGCAAGTGCACTCCAATAGACAGATTCAGCGATGTTTGTTTACAGGCAGTCACCCGACATAACTTGGGTATACATGAAAAACATTACAGTGTGATAGTATAGGAAAAGATAATGTTATGGTTGCGAAAACAACCGCCCACTATTAACGCGAGAAATAAACGGCTAGGAAAGGCAATACGATTGTTCAAAATAGTGTTTATTTACTTATCCTAGCATTCTCCTATGATTGTATGTTTCGAAATATAAGTGATCCTTCATAAACCTTAGCTAGCCCTGACATCGCAACCTAGTTCGCGGGTTGAAGACTATCATGCATATCTAACCATCCCGCAGATGTGCAGGGGCCTAGGCTTAACATTCGTAGAAAAATCTCAATGTTTGCTACCAGTATCCTTTACAGCATTAGCAGATTATTAAGGCAAAATTCTCAAGTGTTTTTTTAGATTGAAAGTCAGCATGAGTACTACCGGCAACTACTGTAGTTGAGTTGCAAGGATGACATAAACTTAGCTTTAAGAATATTATTTTATTTGCACAGTCAAAAGCGATAAATATTTTAAAGGCAACTGTTCATAATTTAGCCTAATTACAAATGTACAGAAGCATTTCAGTTCTATTATCATTAATATTATTTTCATATGTGCCTGAAATTATATATTATTAATAGGTAGATTTAGTGATGGCAAGGATTTAAAATATCAAAACATACCCTTCGTAAAGAACTGCAGCTGATGGTCACAGTTGCAACTGTAGAAAACTAAGGTAGGTGGGTGGGTGAACAAAATAGGATGGGCAGGAGGTAAATAAAATTTGCTTTAGACTGGGTAGAATCTCGGGATCCTCGACCATTATTTACTGTAAACCGCAAATTGAGAATAAACAAAAAACAAACAATTTGTTAGTTTTATATGTATGAGATTTATTGAACTTCGCATAACGGTTGGAATCTGTTTTGTGTACCAAAATACAACAATCCTATATATTGCATTTAGAAAAAGCGGTGAACAGGAACACAATTTTACAAAAATGGAAATCTCAGCTTACTAGCAATAGCCAACATTGTACTCAACTTTACAATAGCTTTACTGCTAGAATTTAACATCCCCCTTATCATTTGTCATACCATTAGAGCTGCTGAAAAGAGTATGGAGGGAGCATTATTAACAACAGAAAACCATATCGCACAATAACATCTTGCACATTTTAAATGCAGTAAATTCACAAACATCTGAAAGTAAACGGGATATCACCTGTTTTGAAATTCTCCATGAAACTCATCATCTCCACGATAGCGCTCGTCCTTTGTTAATAAATACGCTTTCTAATCAACAAAGTACATTAATAATAATGTTGTATCATTGTTGACATAGCCTCAGGCTAAGTCTCATTACACATGAAAGAATTCCATTTGGCTATCGCCCTTGTGTGTTCAGGTTACCATACACAAACAAAAATTGCATTCAGCTTGGGCAATTTATTGTCCAAAACATTTCAAGTAGAGCACATTTTTTGCTCACTGTCTCGCAAGGCAGAAAATGCAATGAAATTTACATAATACAGACACTCGGTCTAAGCCGTTTGTATGTGTCTTATGTAGAAGAAAAACTTATTTCCATGCACTTTGCATTGAGGATGAAGTAAATACAGCAGATTAAAAAAAAAAACTTGTTAATAATTTTCCAGTAATTTAACCAAATAAAATACTGTATTACTATCTTCACACCAGCAGCTCAATTCATTAAGTTAATATATTTTGGTTGATATTTTTATGCAGCAAACAAAATATATTCTTACTCATATATTTAAAATATTCAAAGAGGAAAAACTTGACCAAACTTTGATGAAATAAAGTATTGTCGGACTTCAGAGTGTGTATGCTTTACCAAAATTATAATAAATATTAACATCCATATTATTATGTAATGTATGTACTTGAGTCATGACCATTTTCTAACTGAAGATAGTTCAAAAAATTTCTATATTTTATTTAGTTTTTACTAAGCTATCAATCATAAATTGTACTATAACTAAAAGCAAATTTTGAGTTTTTGAATGTGGACAGCATATGTAATACTATTATGCAACCTTTTTTTTTTATAATTTCATGTAAGTTTAATTAAATAATAAATATTAACATCCATATTATTATGTAATGTCCTATGATAATTAAACTGTGAATATGAATATCTATAGTATGTTGTTATTTGTTCACTTTATATATTTACTTTAAATAATAAAACTACAAAACATCTATAAATTTAATAACACTACAGTACAAATTAATATCAAAATGATGCAACATCACAAAGGAAACTTAATTAAAAAAATGTCAAGGTTAAAGTCCCACATGATCGTATGTAACAAATCCCCGTCCCTATAATAAAGCCCACACTAATAATAAGGCTACATGTTCTATTCAGGTATGAGGCTACCCCTAACCTTAGCATTTTTTTAATGGACATTGCACACTTTGTGCAGGCTAGTTTCTACGCTAACCTCTCTACGCTCAACATTCTGAGGCCTAGGCTCTGCAGTTCACTATTTTTAAAAAATTTTCAAGTACTTGGGTATAAGTCCACCCCCTGAAAATGTGCCAAGTTGTTGAGTCCAATGAGGAACTAGATGCAACATCATAAGAAATGACTCATCAGGATATTGACATTTTTAACGGCCATCTGGATGAATGTAGTGGACTCATCCTATGCGAACATGTGGGACTGTACCCTTTTAATAATAAATGTAATCATTAATTATTTTTAATCGTTATTAACTGACCATTACTAATTGCAATCAGCTGATAATATTTTTATTACAGATATGTGAAAATGTGGGACTGTACTTTTATATGTAATCATTAATTATTTTAATCATTAATTACTGACCAAGTTTTTATTACAGATGTTTTAGATTATATTTATAATCCATCCCATAATGTATTTTTAGTTGAATTTTGTTGTACATGTTATTTTAAATCCCTCCTCTAGCTAGTCAATCAGAAGACCAGTCAAAATGTTTGCTGGTCAGTAGCTAGGCTGGTTAGTAAGCCAACCTATCATCGCTAGGCTGGTTAGTAAGCCAACCTATCATCAATAGCTAGGCTGGTAGAATCACGTCAATTCTAGGCTGGGCAATAGACCAGCCTATCATTAGCAAGGCTGGTGTATAGCTACAATAGTCTACTGTACGTAAGCCTGTCAATTGCGCTTGTTTAATCGCTGAATGTTTCAATATTACGATAATCTACAGCATACCAAAACCTTTTGCATGGGTGATTGCTTTAACTAGACGATCTTTCAGCTTCTCTCTGTTGGAGTACTCGGGTAGTAGAAGAACATTGAAACAGGTATGCGCTGTTGGTAATCTGTAAATATAAACCAAATAACTTACTCACTCCAAACAAAACAGTATCTTCAAGACAGCAAAAGTAATCTGCCTTTTTGGTGCTAAGGTGCTGCAACAATTTCATTGTTTTAATTTATAACACGCATCCATTTCAGAAGGAACTGCTTAAAGTGGCTTTTTCCCTGGTCACTAATTACAGAGCAAGTCATGGGCAATGTGTAACCTCCTTTGGTCCACAACAAAGTGTTCCTAGGCGTAAATGAAATTCAGCACTAACCAATTTCATTCAGAATCATTAACATTATTGGATTGGATTTATTCGGATAGCCCACGAAAGTCTACAAGACGACTTATTTCCAGTTGGATCCTTCTGGTGGTGAATTTAGCAGTACACCGGGAGAAAATCCCCTACTCTTTTCCAAAGAGTGTACTGCGTTCTTTAAAGTCAGACTCCGGAGGAAAAAAAAATTTTTGATATGTTGTAGAACTGATTTTTCTAAGACAGAAAAAAGTTGTTTGACGAAAAAATGGGGAACGGTGAAGGAGATACAGATTTTTTAATATTTAAAAACTGTGGGAAAAATGGGCGTAACCGCCCAATTTTACACCTTTTTCCCCCCAGTTTTTAAATATTCAAAATCTGTAACTCATCCACCGTTGCTCAGTTTTTGATCAAACTACTTTTTCCTGTCCTAGAAAAATCAGTTCTACAACATATCAAACATCCAGCTGAAACACAAGGAGAGGCAGCAATGGAAATTGAACCGGGGAACTAGAGATATCCACAGTTTAGTGCACACAAAATGGCTAGCACCAGATTAGCTGACTGTGCTAAGCTGCTTTCTTATTATTATTATTATTATCATTATTTATTAACAGGTGCTTATTATACTCTTGGGTTAAGAGGGTGAGCATAGATAAAGTATTGACCAGTAACGGCCAAGACCTATTGATTGAATAATCAATGCCTTACCACTATTCCACACACACATGCAACAATAAATTAAGCATATACATATCCCTGTTGGTTGCCTTTAAAGAATAAAAATTCCAAAATGAAAAATGTACCTGTTGGAATCTGGACCATTCTTTGCGATAATTAAGCGCAACTTGGCTAGGCCACCAACTGGCACACGATCACTTCCTGTTGTAAACATCAATAGCTGCTTCTTCTGTTCTTCTGAAAACTCATTTACAACTTCCCAGAAATATCTACAAAAAAAATAAATAAATATTGTCAAGTCAATTAATAATAATATTATAATTGATATTATACAATTACAGTAACATCTCCCAATTAAAAAACCTCCCAATTACGAACTTTGTATTTTATGTAGACTCAATCTGCTGCGATGACATCATTACGAACAATCTTTTTTAACTACAAAACACTTAAAATTATATACAAAAATCTTTTGGAAAAACTAAATGTATTAGTAGCATAAATAAAAAAAAAAATAATAAAAATTTAAAATATAAAATAGAATAATGGAATTTTGTATCCACAAACAATAAATTCTGACGAAAATTATCTATAAATTTATCTAATTACAGGTGCCAATTTACCTAAATTGCAGGTTTAAACTAACATAATTACAGGTATTAATTTACACTTTAAAGTCTAACTATCTGTATATACATTTATTTTTCTCTAGCTTTTGTCCACACAGTGGACTTTATCAAGAGAGAAAATAAGTATATACAGTATAGTTCATCTTTAAAGCACTGAGTTCTGTTATCATTTACAGTATATTGTTCTAAATCTGGCTAACATGGTTACATCCTTTGTTTATCATAAAGTACAAACTTACCTGATTACAGATGAAAACTTGCAAATTACAGGTATACTTGCCTAATTAAACGTGTCAATTTACCTAATTACAGGTGTAAACTAACCTAATTACAGAGGTGTAAACTTACTTAATTACAGGTGTACTTGAATTATAACCACCATCATATTCAGTCGAACTCTCCAAAGACTCAAAATCAAAGTACTAGAAAAAGAAAAATAATTATTGTACACTTAAATCGTGGTATCATTTTTTTTTTTAACACTACAGCTATTTTCTTGCTCTTTACACCTCCTTCAATCACTTAAAACCTTACAGATATTTATTGACAATAATATATATTTTTTTTTAAAGAAATAAGCTGTATAGTGATAAACTAATAGCATCATAGCATGGTGCTTCTATACCTGTGTCTAGAGTTCAAATTGTTTGAATTGTATGTTTCTCACAAATAAAAGTCATCCTTCCACTATGTGTCTTAAGTAGTTTCAAGTCTCCTGCAGGCCATGCGGCCTCCAGGAATTGGCACATCTCCCAATACTCCCACGAGCAAGAAAAAAATCTCTAACAAACTAACCATCTCCCACAAATTTATGATACTTGCAAGTTTTTACTCCGGAAGGTTGCTGGCATTTGTAATAGATACAAGTTTCACAATAACTTTATTGCAAATTTAATGAGAATTTGAAATGTACAGGTGTGTTAACATTTTAACTGCCAGCTGCGTTTGAAAAAAAAATATCTGCCACCACCAGCCTTTTTTTTTTTTTGATCATTTTCCAAAGCTCGGTATAAAGAGTGTGTACATGATCGAATTGACATATTGTATTATACACTAAAAGAATGACAAACATCTCACCTTTACAAAGGTACCAAACACTTTATTCAAATCAAAATTTTTAACCCCATAACGATAAAATGAAAGTGGCTCACTTTTAGGGATTTACACAATGAAGCTGAGATAATCGCGATCAGTATCACCATGCAATATAAGGTCACTAAGAATAGGTCACATTGAAATAGCGAAACATGTGGTCCCAACCGATTTGAACACTTTAGAGATTTTCTAGAAATGCAGACATACCCCCCTTTATCATGTAAAAAAAGAAAATATGTAAAAAAAGAAAATATCATGTAAAAAAAAAAAATTAAAAAAATGGAGATCTCCATCTTTGGCGGTCAACGGTTGGGATTTAAAAGACGGAGATCTCTGTCTTTGGGGGTCAAAGTGTTAAGAAAGCTTATTAAATCAGACCGCCTCAAGTGGGTTGTCTTAACTACGGACCACACCTCTGTATGAGGTTTCTGAATCTAACTCTCAATTTACCTTGTTACCACAAACAAGCAGTTCAACCTCCTCTGGCCTAAACCATATCTTTAGAGGGCTTTCGTCGGTGACCATATCGAACCCTCGTTTAAAAGCTTGGAACTGCTTGGTAATGGATTTGTTCAGCATGAAGTCTGCATACAAATCAACAAACTCCTGTAAATTATTTAAATATATAAAGTAAGAAAAAAAAAGATGAACGGTATACAACCCGAGAATTAAATTTTAGGATTGAGTACAAGTATACTTCGGAGCGCAAGTATACTGCAGTCTGTAGAAACTAGTTCAAAATTACTCTTATCCCCAGGAAGAGCTACCTGCCTCCCTCCCCCCTAACAGTCAGGGAGAAAAACCATAGTTCAGCGGGAAGAACAAAAATTTATATGTATTTTCAACATAGTAATAGACTCTAAATCAATTAGCCCTTTTCAGTCTGCCATATTACCATTGATGGAGGCTGTACCAAAGCTGAGAAATTACATCATCTACAATAAATGTTGGGTATTTACTGGGCGCAGCCATTTTATTTCATCTGAATACAGGCCCTCTTCAGAAATACTCCTACATCACTCTCAAACAATTATATGGAGGGCAGCATAGCTATAAAACAAATTATCAGGAAATCTATACAGGGTGTACGTACGACGCCCCTCGCTATAAAGTAAGGTCAAAGAGGGTGTCGTCGCGACGCCATACGACTGTAAAGTGTAAATAAGCCTTTAAAACTCCAAAATTGTCAAACTTTTTGGGGTTTCGCCCCCCTGGACCATTTTCAAGAGATTTTGATTTATGCCCGACCACGCCCACTTTGCTCCCGTCGGGGACTTCGCGACCCAACCTCCCCCCTCCACCCGGTCGGGCAAATCCTGGCACCACCCCTACACATAAACTATCATAAATGTAAAATGAGTTGTAACATCTCACCTGTCTATTGTTATTGGTTACTGGTATTTTACCTCCATCGTCCTTTAAGTTGAACTTTTTGGTACCACCAAATAGGTCACTTACACTAATATTAAATGTTTGCATAAAATCCTCTTCTACATTTCCCTCATATTCTAATAAATCTTTCAAACTCTTGTATAGAACCTATACAGAAGAAAAAAGCAATACTTTAATCAATCTGACTGACTGAAGATAGTATTTTGATTTTCTCTGAATTGATGTTTGAAATCAATGAATGACCAGAAGATTAATTTTAATCATTCATTCATATAATTATTTGTTTTGTCAATTTAAAATGTTGACAAATCAATAATGAGTGTATATGGAGGAGGGGGAAGGATGGATCTATTGGCTAAAGTGTCTGCTTTCCTTCCCTTTCCACACACGAAGGCGAAGTGGGGGGGGCTCGATGATCAGTTGAGGGGCACTAATTCGCAAAATATGGTGATTTTACTGTAGGTGATTTTTACCACAACACAATCTCAAAAATCTTTTGGTCCACCCCAAAGGATAAAATTGAAAAAGGGGACACTTGAGGCATTCTATACAAGGTAGATTGCTATAACTGTAACAACACATACATAGGAGAAACCGGCCGATCCTGAAAAACTAGAATCAACGAACACAAAAAGGAAGTGGCAGAACAATGTAAAGGAGTATTAACTAGATCACACAGACTGTCAGCCTCAAAGCACCATTCACAACTCAGCCATCACTCACCATATGACTACACATGACCACGTCCCAAACTGGAATCAGAATGGAACACCAGAATAATCAAAGAAGCCATCAACATAAGGCTACACCCCAATAACATAAACAGAGATCAGGGCGCACACGAACTTCCACATATTTACGATAATATCTTGGAAGAGGCGGACCCCCGCACATCCCGTTTGGGAAATCCCAAACGGTCATCAAAGGCTAAAGATGGTTCATCTGAGCTGACATCGGAAAGCCCACCACTGTCATAATGGGCACTTATGACTAAGCCTTGCTGATAGCAGGCGAAACATCAAGAAATAAATAGTGAGTAAATATCTTAATTTTACACTTGGCTTTGGATCATCTAAAAGAACCTTTAGTACACACTTATTGTTTGGATCCAATGAATTAATTCAATCACATGTAACTAACTTACTGGCTGGCATTCTTGCATGTCGTTGAAGGTTGCACGTTTTCCTAAGAGCTTCCGATACAGTGTCATCGGAAACTGAATATTCAATATGATGTTGTTATAGATAGCTAATCCCAAGACGACACCAATCAATGTAAACTGACGATCCGACTCAAAACTCATCGAATTGAACCAATAATTGTTGGTTTCTACATACCCAATTATAGTGGAAAAAATTCACTGAAAAAAATCATCACTAAAAACTAAAGCCTTGATTTCATAAAGGTGTTGCATACTATCAGCGACGCTAATGAATCTGTCTGTCAAATCGGGAAGCCTTCCTGATTGCATCAGTGACAGCTATGCAGTGTACTGACTGCGTGTACAGTACAGTGACTATGTAGCAATTTTATGGAAACCACTCAAAGCTGAACTACATTAGAATGTATACTATAACGCAATAATTACCTATATCAGGATTGAAGATTTCCTGAACGACCAACTGGAAAAACTCTTTCGAAACGCCTCCTTCATCAACACCTTGCTCGCCTTGAAACTCTACAAACAGCTGCTTCTTCAGGTCTCCTGGATTGTCCATTGCAATCAGCTCCAGCTGAAAGATTTTTATTCATTTAGTCAATCAATAAGTCAATCAATAAGCCTGAATGTTAATTTAGCTTAATGTAAATCTGTTGTTAAGTGGGAGGGTGGATAAACGAAAATTTGGTTTTGTTCTTGTGTGGGTTAGTTGGGGAGGGTTTAGTTTTGTTTATGTTTATTTTTGCTCTAAAGGGAAAGGAATTTAAATGAAAATAGGTTAATTTCTCGTTGGTTGCTTTGGGCGTGGAGTTAAGTAAGGGGTTAATGGGTGGGGTTTATTTTTAATTCCTATTGCTCTTAGTTAAGTTGTGTTTTGTTTTAGTGTTTTTGTATATTTTGTTTTATTTTCTTGGATGCACCTCCCTTTGGAAGAGTGCCACTGATTTAAAAGTGTACGTTCCGAATAAATAAATAAATAAATAAGTCAATCAAATGAATTTAAACCAATCAAATTAAATCCATATTTTGTATTCAACAGAATCCTATGCCAAGCCTGAATGTTAATTTAAACAAATATTTGATTTAAATTAAAGTAACAGTAAAGACAATAAATATAAATTATGCTACTAAGGAGAGACTTTTTTTAGCAAACCCACCGACTACAAATATTGATGAGTTTGAATAAAAAAAAAATTTTATTTTTGGCTAATTAGCGCACCCCCGGCCACAAAAAAATAATTTTCTTTCTTTATTTTTATTATGCCCTCCACTGCCTTGGAATCTCCAAATATATGTATATTTCTTCTTAATTATATGAATTTGAAGCATTTAACTATCCTATTTTACATTCACCAATAAAATTTTATTTTTTATTTTCTTCTCCATTTGGATGATTTTGGCAAAACTATTTGCTAAATAAGAAAACAAAATTTTATTTCTATTTTTATTCCACCCCCTCCGATAATCTTTAAAAAAATAAGTATGCGAAACAAGGAATTAAAAGAAGTCTTGCTAATGGTTTAAGTGTAATAAAAAATGTAGAATGGGCCAGGAGAGAAACTCAACGGTTAAAGTGGAAAAATGAGGAAGAGGTTGACCAGAGAACTTATTGGAATACTAGACACAGCTTTAGGTATTAAGTAAAGAGCAGAAACTTACCCTAACAAGGGCGTCATCTACAACATGATCTCGTCGCACTTTCAACCTAAGGTACGGATTGAATTGGTTTTGATCCTGTACTAAACTATGTAACACTGTCATTCTACGTTCATTATACATACGTATTCTGTTATCGTAATATAGACACTGATTCTTAGTAGCTGGTGTTAAAATAAAAGGGAAGTTTAGAAATGCAAACTTGTCAGGATTGTTACTTTTGAAATGCGTGAAATCGTGATCAACTTCCAGTTGTTCGTTTAGCGGTTCATTGTAAAATTCAGAAAAGGGAATTAGAGGTTTTGCACTGATAAGCACGTCGATTCCAAGGAGTTTCTCAAGCTGATCTCGGCATGGCACTTTTCGTTCTTTATTTTCAGGTCCGACGGCACCAAGCATATCACGCCAGTCTGTATCTTCATCCAGTACGTCTCTGCAGGAAGAGGCGTCAAGAGTTCCACCGAGAATACTAGCGTAATATATAATACGCATGAACTTTGTAGCATTTGTGATGGCAGAATCATCATTAACATGCAAGTTTCGAAAAGTTCCCGTGATCACTTTATATGTTACGAGCTGCTGCAACGTATCAAGTTTTGACTTCAAATTTTCAGCTGAGAACTTAGAATACCTACGCACAAGGTTTGCCTGTGCGGCAAGTGGTAAAGACACGACTGCTTTGCAGAAGTGTGGCAGAGCCATGTCTAGAAACTCTGGACTCTGCAGCATTGGGTTTTCCATTATGATCAGTACAAAGTTCAGTAGCTCCGGTTTCTCTTTGAGATCTTGGTTCCACCGTGCTTCTATCTCAACGGCGCAAGAGAGCGAATCAATAGCATTTTGTAATGCATTTAGTACGTTAGTTTGTTCGCATCCTTGTAAAACGCTGTAAATGCGCTTCAGACCGTCAAGATCTAGTTCGGAAGGTTCATTCAGTAAACCGGTTTGTCGACTGTAACTGCATGATGCGGTATCACACTCATCTGTGTCTTTATCTTCGTCCTCGCACAACGCGCTTTTTTGCTCTTTTGTAAGGGGCTTCCTTTTTAAAAAACTTCTACTCAACGCCTGCCAATCTGAGAAGACGCTACCAATTAAACGAACCAGAGGACTTGAAGATTTACTCTCTTTTAACAAGTTTATCTTTTCCATTATAATTTCTTCAGTAATAAAACTTGGTTTTGCTGCTTCTGAAAGATAAATTATGTTAACATATCATTCTATTAGAATGAAATTAATTATCTGCAGCTAACTAATTTTATCCAATAAAAGAAAAGTCTGCAATAAACTGAGATTTTTATACTGAAATCCTTAAAATAATTCCCATGTAATTTGCAATTTGGCCTGAAGAGGACAGATCCAAAAATGATAATATATGAAATTTCATAATAACCAGTATATGACATGACACTCCAAATCATATTCCATGTCGATAGGATCTCGAGCAAGACCCTAACAAAGGGCTTTACAATTGTTTTGACCTCCTCCACTCGCACTTTTTTTTTATCAATAAAAATGTCTTTATATTTCATCCTTCATCAAGATGCTTTTAGTAGAACCAATTTGTTAATTAATGAGAAACAAAATTATTTTTATTTCTGCCCTCTGTTTTCTTGCCAATTTTTCAGAAATAAAGTTTGCTAAACAAGGTACTGTAAAACCTCAAATTGAAGCCCAATGGGCTAAATCTCAAGAGGAAAGCCATCGAATTGAAGCCCCCCCATTCTAGTTTGCAAAAGTAGCCTCGAAAAAAAGTCCATCGCTAAAAGAAATCCATGGGCTTCTTTTTCAAGATAGAATGGATTTTTTTCGAGAAATTAAGTACAGTACATACACTGTACATGATTTTCAAAGCAACAAAAATTTAAAACACACTTGGTATATACAGTAATTCAGGTGATTTAATACTGGTTAATACACTAAATGATACAGATTGATGTTACAGATATTTATTGTTTTTTAGTAGTAATTCCCAAGTTTTCATTAGTAATTCCCAATACAGATTGATGTTACAGTTATTTATTGTATTTTTTTAGAGGTAATTCCCAAATTTACAGTATTCATTTTGAAAAGAAGCCTCCCTCTTTACTTTGCAAATGTAGCCTTGAAAAGAAGCCCATCCAAATTTTGCAAAAAAAAAAAAAGAAGCCCAGGGCTTCAATTCAAGGTTTTAGTGTATACAAATAATTTTGCCAATTATTTGTTTTAAATTAACTTACCCTTTTCTGTATTCGGCTTCTCTTTGGTTTTTGATTGTTCTTGCAGCACATCTGAGTGATTTTCTACAGTTGAAGAACTGGTCGAGGCTTCTTCATCCTTCTTCCTTTGCTTACTCGGTGAGATATCGCACAATCTCGCCTTCGACTTAACCAGCTCGATTGCTTTCACCGCTGCCTCGTTGGATGATATTTTTGCTTGGTTACAATTCGAAGCGCAGTGTTCATTTGTGCACTCGACATTTCCGCAACCCTTCACCAGCTGGTAGAAGTAGCGTTCAATTAATGCCTGGGCGGCACGCTTCCTGCGATCAGGAATAAGTATTTTAAATATAAGCTACATAATAATTAACAACAAAAATAAGTCTATATAATAATAGTAATAATAATAATAATAATAATAATAATAATAATAATAATAGGCCTAACTGACATTATAAAATAAAAATGAATAAATCTTTTCAACTGAACTTCTTACACTTTCAATAGACATATTATTGTTTTATTAATTATTAAATTTTTATGTTCTTTACAGGACCAAAATAAGATCATAATGTTATTTTTTATTAGGTATTTACATATAGCGCCCGTCCTTTAGGTTTACGAAGCGCTCTGTTTTCTCTGGTCATTGGGTCCATGCTTCATCACATCATGACCTTTTTATAGGCAAATCATGACTATATAGAACATATCAATAGTGTGGACTGAATTTTGGAAAAGAGTGGGATTGTCTCACTGTACAGTATCTCAGTTCATTTACTGTCAGGAGGGTGTGTACTGTATATGTGCATGTTAAGTTATTTTGTCGCTTATCGTAATAATTATTTGCTCTTGGCTATTCTTGGCACATGCGACTAAATATATTGAATTAATCATAATAATTTGATAAGAGTTGCAAATTATAACAAGAATATTGAAACAATAACACTACTAGATATAAAGACATGGATTAACCTCAAATCTTAAAACTTGAGTTAAGAATGATATTAATGGAACCAACCAGAGGTTAGGAAACATGCACTTTCATAACTCTAATAAAATAAAGGAAGTTTATAAGCCCATAAATGTTAATTATAACACAGCTCTAACATCCTTTAAAATGCACTGTTAGTCTTGTGAAATTGCTTGGCCAAGACTATAAATAAAAAAATCATTAGCCATAGAGCAAGAAAGATGGTAGGACTGGTTGCCATGCTAAGTATAAGCGTAATTAGTGTACTGGTATGCAAACACACACCAGATACTCACTTATACTCTTTGGTGGACACAAAAATGTTGTACTTATTCATGTAGGAGACCCACACCTTGTAGGTTGTTGGTTAGAAACCCAAAGTACTACTATATATGCCCTAGTTTAAACACAACCAACTATGAATTATAAACCATCTACTATCACAATGACCTAAAACTTAACTCTTTCAAACAACATACAGATGGCACATAGAGGTACTTGACCTAAAACTCAAGGTCAAAAAGATGGCAAATTTGAAAATGAAAAATTTCAACATTTCTATAAAAACAAAGATGACGGTTAAAATAACTTACATTTCTTCGCCAGTTTCTTGTGTGTTGGTTGTTGGTATTCTGGATTTTACAGCACTATAGAAGATAGAAAGAAAGATTAAAATTTTACCAAGCCTTACTTCTTGTTGCAGTTTCAAATCCAATCGACTAAATAGCCTAAAGTTATCAAGATCGAACTAGTTTTTAAAGGTTATAATTTGCAAAAACAGAGTAGAAACATCAATAAAATTTGAACTTTCACTCAAATTGAAAAAAATCCTCATTGCCAGATACAGGTTGTCTCGCAGTATGGGAATTTCCCAAAACTTGTTGACAAAATATTTTATTTAACAATTAGACGAGACTTTTTTTAAAGTTTGTTTCGAGAACTTAGTATTTTAAAAGATTGTCACTGTCAGAAGAAAGGCAGAAAAAAAACCAAAAATAAATTTTGTTATTCTTTATATCTAGAAAATAGTTTTGCCAAAAATATCCAGACTGAGAAAGAAGTAAATGTAACCTTTTATTAATGTAAACAGTGTAGTACTAGGATGCTTAAAATGCTTTAAATTTATATAATTATGAAGAAATATACATTTATCGAGATTTGAAAACAGCAGCAGGCATAATAAAAAATAAAGAAAAACTTTTATTTTTTTTTTTTAATTCCATTTTTTCATGGCGGCGGTTAAGCTAATTGGCCAAAAATTAAATTTCATTTTTAATTGAAATCATTATTATTATTATTATTATTATCATTATCATTATTATTAATTATTATATTGGCTGGTGGCAGATTCACTAGCAAAGTTCAAGATGAACTTGTTTTTGAAATTGAATCTTTTATCAGAATTTTAAAACTATTTTATGCTAAAATGCAATAATTCTTTTTTTTTATTTTTCGTCTCGAATTTTACCCTTGTAAATTGAACTTATAACATTAGTTTTTTTTTTTTGCTGCAATACTTCTTTTTCAAATTTTATTGTTTTTTAGACCGATTTCACTGATGATTTTGTACATATATACTTTCAAATTTAAATTTTATTGATTAGCCTATTTTACTTGAATTTTTTATGCTAATTTTATTTTTTAATAATTTTTGTTCTCACTGGCATCGGACAGCCAATAGACAGTGATTTAGTTCACTTTTTGGCAATCCTATCCGGCCAACTGAGTGTTGTTTCCTGTGCTCTCTGTTTTCTTGAGTTTGTCAATTTTTAATGTTCATAGTATTTCAACCTCAGCCAAAACCATGGGGGGGGGGGGGGGGGCTGAGGTAGGCCGGATTCTCTCCATGGGCCCCATTTATCTCAAATTTCTGGACCTGCCACTGTGTATGTCCCTAATACAACGTACAGTAAGTATTTAATTAACTTTAGAACTGCCAGATCATACCAAGCCGATTTAAATAAAATAATAATCAAATAATCAATACAGATCCAAACATTGTATTACTGAAGTGAGGTTTAAGATTTTCAGTTACGAATGAATATATGCAACAACCCTCCTGAGCTAATATGCTACAACCCTCCTAAATTAAGCCACACTTGGTCAACACCACTGATTTTATTGCAACATTTCTTTTTTTTAAAGTTGAAACAAACTGTACAAATAAAACAATTTCAATTTTTCTATTGTTTGTACACTAACAACAGTTTAGCCTACCTTTGAAGTCTCCCAATAAGGAGATGGCAATACTGAAAACAGGCTTCACCAGTTTTCCAAGTTGCTTTATAATTATTAAGGTGTTTACTATCTAAAATTTGAAACTTCTACAACAGAGGTTAAGCACAGAATTAACTAACAATTACATAGCATTTTAGTTTCAATACTATCCTTGATTTTATGTCATTGTCAGAACTGTTGGATGAGTCACTTCACATAGTCACAATCTAATATGCACTTGTTAAATTATTTCCTAATTAAACCTTACGAATGTGGGGAAATTGCAACATGGCCATGGTACTGTACTGGCATCATACAGTACATCACAATAAGTTCAAACCAATTATGAACTTAAAACATTGTAAAAATAGTAATCAATGAAATTATCCCATCTCAATTTTTTTTAAAACATTCTGCTTGGGTGAAAAGTATGTGTTTACACAAACTTTTAATCTAGTCCATTTTTTATAGTTTACTCTATGATACAATAGACTTCTAATAGTTCTTAAGCAGGATACTTTTATTAAATACAGTTTTGTTTTGTTCTCCAATGCAGTGGGCCTACAGTATGCCCTAAAGACACAAAATAATACTCATCATATTTCCAAATAAAATATAAAAAAAATATTTACAATAATAACTACCCCCTGAAGCTCAAACTTAAGATCATGGGGTAATAATTCTGATGTAAATGTCAGGGACAACTTGATTTTGCTAATCTATCTGATCTCAGAGCATGGAGGAGAGCTAGTGGCTATCGGCACTGCCGCAGTGCCAAAAAAAAACTGCTGTTTTCTATATGCACCTGTCTCTTATACACATCTTTGGAAAGAAAAAGAAACAATTCGTCTAGAAAAAATATTAGTTGTAAAAGACTTAAATCAGACTTTACTGGTACTGTACTTGTATGTGCATTTATAATGCACCTCTTCCTTGAGATTAAAGCGCAGTTTCTTTTCCCTGGTCATTGGGTCCACATGGTTTTCAAGTGTTGTTGCTGGTAATCAGCGCAGGAGCAGGCAACCCCACCAGGTACCCATTTATACTCCTGGGTGGAGAAAAGCTATGCAGATAAAGTGACTAGCTGAAGGACACAAGCGAAATGCACAGCAAGGGATTGAAACCCCAAACTTGAGGTTAGGAAATCAAACCGCTCCCGCTGCACCAAACCGCTGCCTCAAATCCCTAAATTTTTAAAGTTTGTGGGGCTGTAATGTTCTAGTTGGACACATTCTGAGAAGTTCTGGGCTGTTCCTGGCCTCGCCCACTTTTCTCCCATCAGGGAAATCTAGGTTTGCTAGAGATAGCACCAGCAATGATTTTAAAATATCATTGTCTGTTTGACTTCAATCATTTATGTTAACCTTGACAGGGCCCCCAATGGAAATAAATCTATGTAATTGATTTTTTTTGTCTATCCTGATCATAATCAACATTTTTATTGTCTTTTTTTTTGTGTTTTTCATGTTATGTGTTTGTTTGTTTGTTTGTTGTTTTTTTTTCTGGTTAATTATATTTTTCAGCTTTTTAAAATCTCAATCAATATTTAAACTTTATTCAACCTAGATGGGGCAATTCTTAAAACAGGACTGAAAAAATCCTAAACAATTTTAACTATTTTAACAACTTTTATGAGACTTTATCAAGATTTTAGCTTTTGTAAATTTTTAAAGAAACATCTTGTAAAGTTTTAATTAAAACTTAATAATTACATTTTATTATCCTTATTTTTATCTTTTCCTTAGTCATTTTTAACCTTTTGCGATTCAAACGTTTTTCTCATCCTCTTTGTCCTTGTTCCTCCTTGAATTTTATGTCTGTACTGTTTGTTGAATATTGATCGAATAAATGAATGAATGGATGAAAGTTATCATTGGCTTGCGGTGTGCACGCTTCACTGTTCACAACAATTACTAACATTTTATCAAGCTTACACTGTTACAGAGTTATTATAATAGGCATTAAAATACTGGATTGAGGCTGAGCAATATCTGAGAACACATATTACTCAAATCCGATACTGTGTACTGTCCATTGCAGCATTACACAACTGCTGTATGCAGAGTGGGCTTCAGCACTTAGGCCAAAGGGTCTTTCCGGCTCAAATCAACCACCATGCCCATGTGACATCCCCCCCCCCCTCCACCCTTGGATTTTATTGAAAAAAAATTCTAAAAATACCTTGATATTTCAAAAGAAAGAATCCAAAATTTCAGTTTCAATTTCCAAGCGGTTTTTAAGTTATGACATTATGAAATTTAGGTACCACGCCCCCTTTTTCATGTCGGAAATGGCTCCTTTAACTTTGTACGGTTTTTACAAAGCTATATCTCCGGAAATCATGAAGATAAAAAGGTGAAAATTGCTACATAGACTGAAATTTAACCCCTCTTTCAAGAAATACTATTCAAATTTGGGTAGAATATTGTATTAAAATTATGTTATATGCCTCCCAAAATCCCCCGAAACATTGTGCGAAAATAGATTTTCGCCTTTTCGGAAGGCCGTATCTTATTCTTTCAAGTAAGGAAGTTAAAATTAAACATGTGATGAACATGCTCATATATAAAGGTTTGCAAGGTAATTAGAGCAATAATGAAGGTATGATGGGGTCTCAAACATGGTTGCAGGACTACTAACCCTAAAAACACCCCCTACTTTGACCCACTTTGATGACTATTGTGGACACTTAATATTAATTGAAATTTATACCAGTACACAGGTACACATATCATCAATGTATGAAATTACATTATCATTATTTATTATTTTATTATTTTATGTCTAACTTTTATACCAAATTTTTGCATTGCGAAGACAAATTTTACTTGTATTTTATGTACTAGTGACAATTAAAAAATCTTGTTTGTATACAAAGTAGAAAGTTTAAACTTTGTTTCTTAACTCCTTTAGTGTGAACTGATTTAAAAAAAAAATAGATTCTGTCATCACCAGTGAAAATTGTTTGCAGATAATTAGGCTTTGGTTTCAATGCAACCAATATGTAATAACGCTGTAGTTACAACTCTGTGACCTATTTTACTAGTGATTTTCCCGCAAATTTACCTTCGTTTTAAATGGGATTTCTTGCTCACAGTTGAACCTCTACGACATCCCCCATTGGGGACCACCTCTTTTAGTTTACTAGTGATTTTCCCCCATTTTAATGTATCTCCCATGTAGTGGCGTATCTAGAAGTCTTGAAATGGGGGTAGTGATGAGGGGAGGGCGGGAAAGTGAAGTGGGCTCGATGTTCAGTTGAGGGGTGCTAACTTGCAAAATAAGGTGATATTTTAAGTGATTTTTAACTACATGCAAGGATTTCATTTTGGTTGGGCAAGAGGTGGCACCAATTTTTAGAGGGTGCCCCGCGCACCCCCTAGATATGTCACTGCTTCCATGAAAATACAGTTGACCCTCTCTTTTTAAAAGCAATCAGTTGTCAAAATCCTGTTTTTTTTCCCATTCAATCACTGCATTTGACACCTCTCACACATTAAATGCATCACGTAAAGTGACTGCAGCCATTTTTGGGCTTATTATTTCTGTGATATTTTACCTCCTTGGTGACAATCCCGGAGGTCAAGAAATATCTCATTCAAGGACAACATTTTTTTGTGGAGGCCATTCAGGAAGTGATTACATTATATAGTTAAAAAAAAAAAAAAAAAAAACGACTTAAACTTTAAGGAACATTTGTTTTTTGATACAATGTATCTAAGACCAGTAGGCCCTAAATGTTGCCTAAGATGTTCTTGTGTCTATAATAAACAGTTACTTATATTACAGTAGAATGTTTAGAAGTTGGATTACCAAGCCCAATAAAAAAAAACACTAAATGATGTACAGGTATTATCTCATTGCAAAAAAAAAAGTAATCCCTAGAGATTTTGCCACAGAAGGAACTCCAATAGGTGTGGTCCAGGACCCGTCTAGGGCCTGGACATTTTTTTTGCCTAGATTTTCTCTAGTGCACTCTAGGCCGGCCTAGGTGGTTCGCGTCGATTTCTTCTGATGTTTTGAGATAAAATAGTACAGTACCTACGAACATACGTGTGGGCCTTGTCTAAGAGTATTTATAAGAATTATGTAAGAGGTAGTTAAAAGTAACAACACAACAATCAGTAGGCCTACAGTATAGGGCTATATTTAGGCTAGGTACAGTAGGTAAGTGACTATAGGCTGTTTTGACGGCAGAGGTCGTATTATTTTTTCCCCATGACTCAAAAATACTGACGACATAGTTCACATTTTTTCTCTTTGACCTTGTCATCAAACCAATTTTCTCCGACTTCGCGAAGGTTTTACAGTAGTTGTCAAAAAATGTAAATATTTTTCAAGAAGATAAGTTTATATTTTTCTGAAACCAGTTTATTTTGATAGTTTATATATTCATCCATCCACAACCAAGTGTAACATATTAGTTAATTTGAATACCGAAACCTAGTTTTTGACTGAAATATAAAAATGTGTTGTGAATGGAAATTCCCCAAATCTGTTCGTGTGGTGCAGACTGACAGGTCATACATGTCTGGTTTTGCTGTAATCACATATCACCGCAACACACATGTACACAGCCAAGATTTTGTTTTGTTTATCTTATCTTGACCACCAAATCCTCATATTTGAGTTTTTGACTATTAATCTCTTTATACACTGAGGTCTGTATATATGGTAATTAACTTGTAATTAATTAATCAAATTATTCTTAATAATAAATGGTTGAATTTTATTGAGTTTTACAATTCTTTTTTTGTCTTTGTCAAGTATGCTTTAAATGCTTTATATTTTATTGAAATGTCTAAAAACAAAGTTAATGTAGTTTTTCACTCACTTTTCCAAGTTGTTTACATTGGTTTTAAAGGACCAAGTATGCCAAAGGCATAGGCTTAGGCCCTACCAATAATTTTGTAAATTTGTTAATAATATTTGATATGGAAGAAAATGATCTTGGTATCGATTTAATGCTATCTTAATTCTTATATGTTCTTTAAAATGGTACCACCAGGCAAGAAATTCCTTGTTTTTGAAATTTTCTATTAGCATAATACCTAGCCTAAGCCTGTTTTAAACCTCAATTGAACATTAGTAACTCAAATAATTAATAGGAACAACATCAACAACATCAACAACAACAACAACAACAACAACAACAACAACAATATATAAATAATATTAAATATATTTGAATGTTCGCTGCAACTATAACTGACGAAAGGTAATACGATGTTTGGTACGATTTCACTATGTTATTTAAATCAATCATAACCAATGACTTTACAATGCATCCAGATTCCAGGGAAGGCAGTCTAGGCATCTACCCTAGCTAGGCCTAGGTCTAGCCTAGGCCTAGCCTAGGCCTAGCCTACTACTACTACTGTAGCCTGCTTATGTGCTAGGCTAGGCCTAGGCTAGATATCTTTCCTTACCTTTCTTGGGCCGCTGCTCCCAAGCTACTGTCAGAATCTGGCTCTAATGGATTCATACGAAATAATTACTATCGGGATAATTCATTCACAATCATGAAACATGGCTTTAAAGAAGTATAACAACAATTATCTAAGAAGATAACATATGAAATATAACTTCTGAAGGGAAGTCGGATGGAGCAGGTCAGTAAAAAGGTCAACAAATAATCATATTTAATTATTTTTTCCAGACACTTCTTATCAATGATCCAGAATTCAATAAGTCATAACGCAGTTTGATTATACATGGCGACTATAAAGAGACTAACAAATCTAATTGCGTTTCTCTCTGTTCCTTATAGTATCTAGACTAGCCCTAAATATACATTGAATTTGTCATAATATTTTTAGACGAATAGGTATATTGCCAAAAAGTAAGACAGTTATACCATACAGTTAATCAATTTCAGGTTAGTATTCTAAATAATTCCTTGTAATGTTCTTTATCATTCGTTGGACCTGCAATTCAGATGTATTTTTGTGTTGAGGGCGCTATTTATATCTGTTCCCGTGTACGTAGGTAGTGGCTATCGGCACTGCCGCAGTGCCAAAAAAGCTGCTGTTTCCTATCGGCACTGGACGACCTTCGGTGCGACTTAATAAAAAAGTAGCCGCCGAATATAAAAGTCGCCGAGGATGACAGTCCCGGCGTTCCATAGAAAACAGCAGCTTTTTGGCACTGCGGCAGTGCCGATAGAAAACAGCAGTTTTTTTTTCGCACTGCGGCAGTGCCGATAGCCTCACCTGTGTACGTACGTGTGTATGTGAGTTGCACCGTACACGAAACGAACACACAACGGTCAACGAACCACCACCAGGTGCACGTCGCACTGAGGTGGGACACCTGTAACATTTTGATAATGAATGTGTAGCTCCTAGCTGAAAGGCAAGTAAGGCCTACTGTATATGCAGTTGCACACTTGATAGAATATACGTAAGTAATGTGTTTTACATAAAATCAATTTTACGTACGTAGGCTATATTTAATAATATTGTAGAATACTAGGAGGTCTGGCCTAGGCCTAGGCCTACTTACTATGGCCTGGTAGGTTAAGGCTAGCTAAGTAGGCATAGGCTAGGGCCTAGCAAAGCAGAGAGTTTTTATAGGCCAACTAGGCTTATCCTAAGAAAACTAAGCAAGAGCCTAGGCGGAGTAGGCTGGTTTGAGGCTGTAGTAGTAGTACCCACCTTGATTCTGTGTAGCCTAGGCCTACCCTAAGAGTACTGTTGTGCGCAGTTTGTGCTTTTTGCTCATCCAAAACATATGGAACGGGGCCCAAGTCAACTCTGCCCCATGACCCATGTCAGCTTGGCCCTAAGTCAACTCGGGCTCAAGAAGTTAAACTTGGCCCCATTTCAATGACAACTGTGCCCCAATTTTCTGTGTATTTACAAATAATTATCCAAAGATATTTGAATGCAGAGCCGATCATGGCAAAATTAATGTAATTTTGAATCGTTGCCTTTGTTTTTCCTTTTCCATTTACAATCCTCCACCTAACAATAATAACAACTGCATTAATGAAAGTAATATTAAAATAATATTAACTATAAAAAGGTGCATAATATCGCTATAATAATAGGGTTTTCGATAAGAATTCAAGCAATCGACTTGCAAACTAATTTTTTACAGGTGGATATTATTTACTTTCAATATTTAATAAAAACAAAAATTACGATTTTTTTATGTTTACTTCCAGAGTTAAGACCCCAGAAAGATGGGGGAAATATAGCGATTTTAGCCACGAACAAGGTAAACAAATAGCGCCCTCTATCAGTGGCTGTACACATTGTCATATATAGGTGTTAATTAATTGTATAATTAATGCCATCAGAATACAAATATGTATATTTATGGAATCTTTATTTAAAATATAATGTGAATAAACTAATTTCATTGACGAAATATTGTTTTATTTGAATAAAATAAGAGGCGTTTTTTCATGATTTTGTATGCAAATTAGCAGCACGTGACACGACAGCCCTTCACAATGGCGGTGGGCAGTGTGTTGAAAATATGGAAAGAAATAGTACAGAGTTTGTGTAGGCCAGGGCGATCGTTTTTTGAAGCCTGAATTTATTGATTTTATTTTACAACATATATAATATATTCTTCTTTTATATATTATTAGGGGAATCACCACAATTATTAATACAATAAAGAAATGCGTGTGTCTTATTTATTTGTACTAATTTTAAATATGATTGATGTGACACAAAGTCTACGAAGAATAATAATTTTAATGGGAACCATACTCATTTATTCCTACTGTAATATTCACTGTATAGTAAATTGGACAAATGTACAGAACCACTACGTAACATGTAGGCCTATTTTATTCACGTTCATTCACATTTAATAAAATTGTAATTTGAGATTGACAGATCCATTCTAATCCATTTGTCCTGAAAGAAATATGAACAAATTAAAGTTAATGAAACATAAATTAATATCCAATGTTCATAGAAAACATGTTTGTCAACTAAAAGTTCAATCTGTAATAACTAATTAACCAGGGCCTAAGAAATCTGGCGAGAAATCAGCCTAAAAAATAAAGTTGGCCCCGGGCCCTAGTACTACAGTACAGAGAAAAATAATCAGGCATGGGTCTAGGCCTAGACGTGTTCGGAAAGTCCAGTGATTATCAACTAAAAATTAATTATAGACATGACACCAAATTTGAATAATGGGCCTTCTCTTTGTAAATTCAGTATGATCATAATTATATGATCAAGAATTTTACAGAAGCAAATTTTACGAGATTCAACAGTAATCTTTCGTAAACATCGCTCGTGCTCATTCAGTTTTACCACGTGTTCGATACAAAGTGGTGTGTACAGCAGTGGAAAAATTTGGGCACGCTGTTTGATTCGACAAATCAAATCCGTTGTTTCTAAATCATTAAACCGTGAATGCTGCGTTTCTTGACTAAGCTCAAATACGATTCGTTTAAAACTACGTCATAAATGTTTATTGATATTTCTGTATGTGAGCCTGTTAAAAATTTCAAAATGTTCCTTCAAAAATGGAAAAAACAGTTACTTTTTAAATGGGTTTTCACTAGACTGAAATCGAATTATAAATGCTCCAAATCAAGAAATAATAGTTTTTTTAGTACTTAGAAAAAACATGTGCAGAGTGAATTTGACATGTCACGTCAATATATATATATATATATACATATATATATATGAGAAAGGCATGTCCA